TAATTCTACCAGCCTCCACCAATTCCTCTGGCAGCTCATTCCATACATGCACCACCTTCTGCGTGAAAAAATTGCCCCTTAGGTCCCTTTTAAATCTTTCCCCTCTCACCTTAAACCTATGCCATCTAGTTTTGGACTCCCCTACTCGATGGAAAAGACCTTGGTTATTCACCCAGTCCATGCCCCTCATGATTTTATGAACTTCTTTAAGTTCACTCCTCAGCCTCTGACGCTCCAGGAAAAATAGCCCCAGTCTATTCAGCCTCTCCCTATAGCTCAAAGCCTCGAATCCCGGTAACATTGTTGTAAATCTTTTTTGAACCCTTTCAAATGTCACAACATCCTTCCTAAGGCAGGGAGACCAGAATTGAATGCAGTATTCCAAAAGTGACCTAACCAATGTCCTGTACAGCCATAACAAGACTTCCCAACTCTTACACTCAATGAACTGACCAATAAAAGCAAGTGTGCCAAATGTGTTCTTCACCATGTAGGAACAGGTTACTGCAGATGCTGGAATCTGTACTGAAAACAAAAAATGCTGGTTCTGATGAACAGTCATCTAGGCTCAAAACATTAGCTTGCTTTTTCTCCATGGATGCTGCCTGACCTGCTGTGATCTCCCAGCGTTTCTTGTTTTCAGCCTTCTTCACTATCTTTTCTACCTGTGACTCAAGTTGAGCTTGTTTAAAGCTCAGTTACCCAAAGTTGCATTTCACATGCCTGAAAACAAATTGCATGCAAAGCTGGGCGTAACTTGGGAATTCACTCGTATCGACAAGTGCTGGGAAGAAAGAGTGTATGATCTTTAGGGGAGCGGGGCGGGATGCTAGTTACCTTCTGCCCATCCGGGACTCTTCCCTGAGTAAACAGCACTCACTTCCCACCTGCATGTACTTTAAAACACAGCCTAAGGTGCTAAAAAAAAACCCTGCTTAAAGCCCCCTCTCTAACGTACTCCAGAATCCACTGGGCCATCAATGTGTGCCTGTCTGCAGTCCCTGCAGTACCCACTAAGAAGCACTAGCACTGCTGGGGCTGATGTTTGATCCTTTATGGCTATGGGGCAGGCCCACTGTAGGCCTGTCAACTCATTGCCAATTTTTTTCAGTGGGGTGGAGGAGCTATTACCTACCCCTGTTCCAAGTTCCTGTAAGTTCTTTTCTTTCCATGTGTACATGCCAGCTAAAGTCATATCTAGTTTTGATCTATTTAATTGTTTTCTACTTATCCATGTCCAATGCAGTGCCTCCTGTCTGATATCTTCTATCCAGGACTTCTCCCAAGGCCAACTCAAATAAATACCAATTTAACAAGATCAGTCTGGCGTTTATCACCTTCATGGGATCAATCTGGTGGAGGTATATTTGCCACCTTAAGAGACCACAGTTTGAATCAAGCACTGTTGCACAGTTTAACTTAGTTGCAGACCTTGCTCATTTTGGGAAGGCTATGATTTGACTGAATTGACCATCTTGCCTTGCATTCTAATCCCATAATTCAGTTCTTCCACGTGACTTTAATCAGGACGCTTCTCTGATGTTCCATATCACTACCATGACACAAACTCCACAAACAGGACTCCACCACAATTGGTCCATATTCATTAATATAAAAGGTATGGAAGCAGTTAGATGATTAAAAGTGGGCAATACATTAAAATACAAATAAAATTTGGCTTAAATTTCCCAAGCCCCTTTTTTTTCTGGCTGGTGCTGACAGAATGAGCAGAGTGGTCTCCTTCTGTGCTGCAATATTTTTCTGCCTTTTTAAAAATATTGTCATCATCTGAAGAGCAGAGATGTGCAGGGATGAATGGTATGGGTATTGGAGTGACAGTACATAAATGGCTTCTTAGGGGAGTCGGAGCACCACAGCATGGATTGAATGGCCTTCTTTTGTGCTGCAAAGATTCTATGATTCTAATGAAAATGGAATTATTTCAGAAATTTTCAGCTCCAAAGAAAAATCATATTGGACTCAAAATGTTACCTCTATTTCTGACTCCACAGATGCTGCCAGAACTGCTGAGTATTTCCAGCACTTTCTGTTTTATTTCAGGTTTCCAGCTTAAAAGTATCGTACTTATTATTTAACAAATTTCGCATCTTCACGTTGTATTTCGGTAAACCATCTAAGTGAGTCTGATGTCTTTCCAATTACAGCCTTACTATAATGTTGAACCCAGAAGTGTTCACAGTGCTGTAATTGTTTCGGCATCACTCCTGGCTACGATACTCCATCTTACCATTGTTTTTTTTTCTATTGGCATTATCAATTTGTATTTAATGTCTTGTTGACCTGAACTTCTAAATTTCTCTGTCCACTCACATCTGATCTTCTCCCCCGCAACCCAAATCAATTTCAAATTATGTAACCAATGGAGACTTAGAATAGATGGACATTTAATTCCATTAGTCACTGGTTTGTGCATTATATTGTCTTTTATCAAAATGCCTTTGGATTTCTTTGGTCCTCAGAAATATTCACTATGGCCTCAATATAATTGGACTCCACTCCCTGCAGCCCTGATGTACACAGTGCACAAAAATGGGTCCCAGAACAGAATCTTGATGAAACCAGAACATTACCCACTTCCAACAACTCTTAGAAACTCCTTTTAAGGTCTTTTGTTGCCACCTGTCTAGCAGTTTTGAATCTATTTGCTGTGCACCCCCAATTCCACAGCCTCTAATCTTCTCTAACAATTTCCTTCATCCACTTCCTTAAGGAACTTCAGATTCACAAGGGCAGTCTTCCTGTCTGAAATTTGTGTTGGCTCATTCTTAACTGTTGTTTGGTTCATCTAAGTATGTGGTAATTTTAACTTTAACTAAAATTCAACATTTGCCCTTCCACAGATGTTAAACTTAATTGCTTGTAATTAGCCAAATAGCTCTGTCTGTCCTTAATGAAAATTTGCATTACACTGGTCTCTCTCCAGTCCTCTTGCACACACAGATTCTAAACAGACGACTGAAACATAAGGTGTGGGTGTGCACATACACAATTTAATGCCTCCAGCCAGAAGAGAACAAGTGGTTGTTAACAGAGCTGACTTGTGCATTCTCCAGCCCAGACTGGCAGATAGCAATTTTAAAATACAAGTACAAGGAGCTGAAGAGATTCTCTGATAATGGAGCTTCTTTCATGCTAGGGCCTCCCAAACGTGTCCACCATCCCCCAGTTAGCATGTCTCTCCCTCAATCATCCAGCCAGATTAAAAGTGATAGACACCTGCCATTCAATTTCCACTCCTTTCTGCTAAGTAGTGATTCCAAATCTCCTTGAAATGAAATGTGGGAGTTAAGATCTCTTCCTATTTTAACATACAATCTTTTCAAGCTCCCACAAACACCTAGTCAATGCCATTATAAAACCAACCCCATATTTAATAAGAGGTTGTTAGAACTGCAGATGCTGGAGTCAGCGATAACACAGTGTGGAGCTGGAGGAGCACAGCAGACCAGGCAGCATCAGAGGAGCAGGAAAGTTGACGTTTCGGGTCGGGACCCTTCTTCAGAAAAGTCAGAGGTGGTAGATGCAGGTACAATTACAACATTTAAAAGACATTTGGATGGATACATGAATAGGAAAGGTTTGGAGGGATGGATGGATACATTTTTCTGAAGAAGGGTCCCGACCTGAAACGTCAACTTTCCTGCTGCTTTGATGCTGCCTGGCCTGCTGTGTTCCTCCAGCTCCATACTGTGTTATCCCATATTTTATAACACTTCCACTATTTACTTTCTCATTTTTCTCATCGACCTCCAAATTGTCATTTGTTTATCTCAATTCTGGTGTAATTATTTACTAAATATGTAATTGCAAAGGTTAGATTAGCACATGAGGGAGAAGTGATTTGAGGGCTATGCTGATAGATTCTGATGAGCAGTAGTGTAAGGGTCCTGGATTGACTGGTTTGCCTGATTGTCTTGTTTCTGTGATTTCAATTAAGCTGAAGAGGGTTCAGAAGAGATTTACCAGAATGTTGCTGGGTATGGAAAGTTTGAGTTATAAGGAAAGGCTGGATAGACTGGGACTTTTTTCACTGGAGCGTAGGAGGTTGAGAGGTGACCTGACAGGAGTTTATAAAATAATGAGAGGTATAGATAGAGTTGATGGTAGTTGTCTTTTCCCTAGGATGGGGAATTTCAGCACATTTTTAAGATGAGAGGAGAGAGATTTAAAAAAGACAAGAGGTAAATTTTTTACAGAGGATGGGTCGTGTGTGGAATGAACTCCCTGAGAAAGTGGTAGATGCGGGTACAATTACAATGTTTGAAAGACATTTGGATGGATGCATGAATAGGAAAGATTTGGAGGGATATGGATCAGGAGCAGGCAGATGGGACTAGCTTAGTTTGGGATTATGTTCGGCATGGACTGGTTGGACCAAAGGGTCTGTTCCCGTGATGTATGATTCTATGACGCTAATTCCATTCAGTCTTTCATCTCACTTTTAACGATTTCACTCCCTTCTCTTTGAGCCTCCTCTTCCTTTTAAAAGATGATCTGAAATACTTATTAAGAGTCTAACCACTCTTCCCCACATTCCCTCTATTAACTTATTGCTGTGTTCTTGCAAGACTTTGTCTCACATTCAAATGTTTTTCTTCTGTCAAATACTGTCCTATTTATTGAAGCTGTCATGACTACACTGTGTTAACTGGTCCAATTGGGGAATCTGACTGCTTAAAGAGTGTAAACAAACTCAAAATGATGTAAGTACTGAGGAATGGAAACCTGGTACATAATGTCACAGCGATTGCAATTCATTCAAGGATATCTCACAAGGGGGCAATCTAAACCATCTTACATATGGTCTGGAAGTTTCTAGTACTTGATACTAGCACTAGATATCTAGAGTAGAAATTTATTCCATTCACAGAACTTAGATTCTTTGCCTTGATGAGCACAACATTCAAAATGATGTTTTTGTGTTGCATTTGACAGTCTGAATTTTTTTGTTGTCTACTAAATTCAATTTTTCACTCCAGGTCTGGAAGCGTTCTGGTGCTTGGTTTTTTAAAGGTTTGCCAAAACAGGTCCTACCAGAACCAATGCCTGTTAACAAACAGAATCTTGAGCCTGTCAAGGGGGAGCATTCTTCGCAAGTGCCGCCAGGTCCAGAGCAGAAAACTCCTCACAAGCTCACAAGAGGTAAGTCAAAGTTCTCTTCAGAATCGGAATGGGTTCAAAAATGGTGGCTGGCGGCAAGAGCAGGACCAGGCTGCCAGGCGGTGAGATCCAACAGCTCGGGCCAGCAACGGGGCAAGATCGAGCTCTTGTGAGGTGTGCGAGCCCAGCATGACTGTGGTGTTGAACTATTAGCTGTGCTTCCTTGTTCTTCTACTTTTTAGTAACGAGAACTGTAATATTTAACATTTTAACTTTGTTTTCTTTATTTTTCTACTTTGTGCTAAGATTGTGTACTCAGGTAGCTTCGTACCTAAGCTGGCGCCATTAAGTGGCGACATGTAAACTTTTCACTGTAGTCATGTGAGCACATGTAAGAATAAACCTAATTCAATTCAGTTCAATTCAAAACTGTATTCTGTCAGCGTTGGGCTGTGTAAATTGAGATGAGTCTTTTAGATTTTCTAATTAGTTTTCACTTTAGCTGGATTCTTGCTTCAATTATTATCAGGAGGCCTTTGGGAAAGTGCCTGATTCCATATCCTAAGTGAGGACCGGATTATTTTTTGCAGTTACTGCTACAAAGGGTCACAATTAAAGATTGACCACAGCGGTCATGTGATAGAAGACTGTTAGAAGCCATGAAACTACACAGTATCCCCAGTGGAGAGCAGAAAATTGAAGGGCATGCAAGGAGGGAGGTTTGAATCTATCTTAGTATAGAACCATTAAGGAAATTCAGAGACGGTTCAGGAAATGAAGAAGAGAAAATTTCAGTTGTGTAGAGATAGCTGGGAATGTAAAGATGTGCAACAGTCTTCCTTTGGTTTTTCAAAAAGGCTACTTTTTCCAGAAATAAGACATCTAAAAACTTGTAAAATGTGATCCCTTTACAAAATAATTTATTCAAGAGTTTTTAAAATATATATAATGAGAGCTTAAAATTGTAAAATTCATTAGCACCTGAGAACGTAGAATATAAGGAATAAGAGCAGGAGTGGCCCTTCAGCCCCTCCAGCAATTCAACAAAATCATGGCTAATCTGTCCCGGGCCTCAACATTTCCTTGGTGCTAGCTCCTCACAGACCTCAACTTCCTGATATTTCAAAAATCTATCTCCCTCTTCTTTGAATATTTTCAGTGATCCAATTGTGACAACTGTCTGAGGTAGAGAATTCCAGTCATTCACTACCCTCTCGTAGATGAAATTCCTGCTCAGGTTTAAATCAGTGTCCCCTTATTCTGTAAGTGTGTGCCTTCATTAGAGATTCTCCCACCAGCGGAAACATTTTCTCAACATCTACCCTGTCAGCATCCCTCAGAATCTTATAGATTTCAATATGATCACTCCTCATTCTTCTACACTCCAATGATTAAAGGCCTAACCTGTTTAGCCATTCTTAACAAATCAATCCTTTTATTCCCAAATGCCTTCAAAGCCAGTATATCCCTTCTTAAATATGGGGACCAAAATTGTAGAAAAGAACATAAAAGCTATGAGCAGAAATAGGCACATCAGCCCTTCGTGCTTGCTGTGCCGTTCAATAGGATCATGGCTGATCCAACATTCCTCACGTCCACTTCCCTGCCCTTTCCTCATAACCATTGATTCCCTGACGGATCAAGAATCTACCTGTCTCAGCCTTAACCATACACAAGGACTCTGCCCCCAGAGCTGTCTCTGCCAAGGTGTTCCAAAGCCCTCTGAGAGAAGAAATTCCTCATCTCAGCCTTAAGTTGATGCCTCTTTATTCTGAGACTATGCCCCTCTGGCTGTAGACTCTCCCATGAGGGGAAACATCCTCTCAGCATTTACTCTGTCAAGCCTCCACTATCTCTGCAGCCACTTCCTTTAAAACTCTTGGATTCAGACTATCAGGTCCTGGTGATTTGTTTGCCTTTAGTCCTTTATTTTGTCCCTCATGATAGAGAATGTTACAAGACCTTTCCTCCCATGAGCACCTTCCTTTTTTGTCATCTTTGGGATGTTTAAAAAGAAGCAAGTTGCTAGGAATGTGTAATAAATCAGGAAAAGGACATTATTTATTGTTGAACACCAAAGTAGAGCCACTATTTTGGGAGGCAGTGGCCTAGTGGTATTATCGCTGGACTGTTCATCCAGAGACCCAGATAATGTTCTGGGGACCCGGGTTCGAATCCCGCCCTGGCAGATGGTGGAATTTGAATTCAATAAATATCTGGAATTAAGAGTCTAATGATGACCACGAATCCAGTGTCGATTGTCAGGAAAAACCCATCTGGTTCACTAATGTTCTTTAGGGAGGGAAACTGTCATCCTTACCTGGTCTGGCCAACATGTGACTCCAGACCCACAACAATGTGGTTGACTCTGAACTGCCCTCTGGGCAATTAGGGATGGGCAATAAATGCTGCCTAGCCAGCGACACCCTCATCCTGTGGATGAATAAAGAAAAACAAACTATTTGTGGCAGGCATAGGCTAGTCCCAGTTGAATAGATGGTTTTACAGACCCATCGCTAGGTCTGCGTATTTTTTTAAAATTACTATTAACCTGATTTTTTAATCAACCTCTGGAGCAGGTGGGATTTAAACCCAATCAGAGATAGTAGGAACTGCAGATGCTGGAGAATCCGAGACAACAAGGTGCAGGGCTGGATGAACACAGCAGGCCAAGCAGCA